TGTTACAAAACGGAATTATACGTTTCAATATGAACTTCATATGTCGTCTTCTAATATGTTAAACAAAAACTATGTTACAAAACAGAACTATACGCTATACGTTTTCACTAGTATGATGGACCAACTTAATTCAATCCAAAATTTTAGAAAAAGTTAACACTCCCCCCCCCCCCCCCCAAGTCGGAGTATCAACTACGTCAACCGGTCATCACCTCGACCGGTCTGTTTGTTCACGGTTTCCGGCTTTCCATGGTTGTGGCTGCCAGGAGACAAGTGTCAAGTTCGCTTGACAAAAAAACTTTTTTGACACGTTTTGCCAAGTCGGCTAAGGCTTAGCCGTACTCAACATCCACGTGCTAAGGTCGAAAAAACTGTTTGCTAACCCGTACTGGCGCACTACGACCCACACATTTGCTGTAAGGACACCCGACCACCGCACAAAAACGTCATGACAGCTAATATTACAACATGATAGGTAGTATCCACACATTTACTGAAAAGAACCACAGACCCCCCCCCCCCCAACACACACACATACATCATTACATCATGACTGACAATATAACAACATGATAGGTAGTAATATCCACACATTTACTGAAAGGACCACCGACTCTCCCCCCCCCCCCCCCCATACACAAATACACACTTCATGACACTCCATGCTAGTCCCACATATTTACTTCATAGATCTGCCTTCCCTCACCATTACTCAAATATATGACAGCTATGTAATATGTAAGGACCAACTCCAATCCCCACATACGTATACCATGGCAGCCAACATACTCTATACGGCACGCCCCTTACGCCACACGACCGTGAAGTACACAGAGTTTCTTCCGGGCATCTCTTCGCCCCCCCCCCCCCCCAACGAAATGGAATTTATATAGGAAATATATACTTTTGACAGTGTCCGCCCCGGAAATTTTAGTCCGCCCCCCCCCCCACCCGAAAATTTCAAATGCACCCCCTGAGAAAAAAGTCTGGAAGAAACACTGGAAGTACATGTTGAATTATAGCCACGTTCGGGCTAAAAAAATCCACACGCTAACAACATTGTAGACTTATATACGACCGCCATACACACACATACAACAAAAGCAGCACATAACGCTGGAAGATCTTCTAATGTCTTGACTCTCTTCTACAATATAATATATTTCACACAAAGCAAGACCCACTTTATATCCCCCAAAATAATGCAGACCCTATTACACATACTATAACTTTCAAACCAGACAAAATTCCCCCTTTCCCACAATACCCCCTCCACACGCTCCGAAGACCCTTACACCACATAACTTCCAAACCCGACTAAAATCCCCCACCCCACAATAACCCCCGCACACCCCGCAGACCCCCTACACCACACAACCACCCACCAGGTAGAGCATCTCCCGCATAGACCTACCCACCTGTGTTATAAACTGCCGACTGTTAACACGCCGTTACCACCTCGTTTTGTTGCTTCATACACAGCAGCAAATTCAACGTCAACATGGCTACTACACTACCAAAACAAAAACCTGTTTGGATAATTTTATTACTCGAGTCTGATGGAGGCCTTTGTCGAAACATTAGTTTCGATTTGCGTTTTGTTTAAAAAATAATCTACGTTAAATTTTAAATTGTATCCCAATGACTAGTTGTGGTTGTTGCAATATAGGTATCAATCAATCAATCGATCTATCAATCATACACCCCCCGATAATCCTGAAAGGGGGTTGAGAGTGCAGGGGAATGCCGCGTGGGGATACCAAACTTTAATTTTTCTTGTCTTTTTGCCATTTTTCAATAGCCTATCACAAAGACGAGATCATCAAAAGTGATGTAAAATTATTTAAAATAAAAAATTATATTCAGCAGAAGGTTCTAAATTAATTCCTGTATTTCCGTTTTTATTTCCCGTGTCTGTTGGATTGTACTTTTTCCAAAATAATTTCCGAGCCAATATTTAAGAGAAAAATAAATAGAAATATTTCCAAATTCTAGACCAGAAGAAAAAAAACCGAAGGAAAAAACAATTAAAGGGAAACAACCAATACACACAAATTCCGATTGTGTTCGGCCTCGGACATTTGTATAACCAGGATGTCTGGCATCTCGGTGTTGTCGCTTCCAACACTTCCGGTCGGCTCCTGGAGTCACAGAGCTGGTGAACACATTTCCGCTCCACTGGTTCCTGTGGACTGGCTGACGATAATGGAACTAGCGCCCAAGAAAACACAACTCTTGATTAGGTCTGAGGGATTTTTTTTTTATTCTTACATCTTGGGGGAGGGGGGGTGTGTTTTAGTACTGGCCTTGACCTTTGGTTACAGATGGGAGCGTTAAGTGTTCTGGTCAGTTGTTTTAAGTTGGTCTTTTGGTCACTTGCTGTTGTCTAGTCTTTGGGTCAGTGATGGCATTTTGTAAAGTTGGTCTTTTGGTTCGTTGTTTAATCCAGCTTTTTGTCAATAATTTGAAACTGGACATTAGGTTAGTTGCTTTAAAACCGTTCTTCTGGTAATTTTTTAAAACCCTTACCTCATAGTCTCAAGTTGTACCTACAACATTACTTGCACATCAGTGAAACGTTGATAATGCCAAAGTTTTTTTAATTAACTTGACAACGCATCCAACTAAATGTATGCGATTACATTAGGTAAATACATTTGATTACCTAAATTCACGTCTAAGTTTGTAAGTATATAAAAAAGTAGGGCCTATTGATATTTTTTTTATTAACACGCCACGCCAGCTTCAGTAGACTAACCGATAATACATTGTTTTAAACGTGGGACTTATGGCTCCCTTATGAAACGTTTATTTCCTGGTCAAGAACTAGCTCGTGTCTTTTACCTCCCTCCCCTGGAACTGGAAACCTGGGGCGTTGGAACGAGGGGTGATAAATGTGGGTGAGGGTATGAAAGGGCCCGAGTTTTAAAGTCAATTAGGTCCCCATCACCGCTCAAAACAGTCGGCCCGATCGAATCTTACAGATGGGTGGTAGCGGGATGGTCTTTGTGACTAGTGACAGGGGGAGGGGTGGAGGGGGTAGGATGGAGAGGGGAGGGTTATGGAATGGGGGTTGGGGGTGTGGGGTGAAGAGAGGGAGTAATATAGAATGATGATGAAAACTAACAAACGAGAGAGTAGAAGGATAAAGTGGTATTATCTATACAGGCATTGTCCATATACGGAGAACATTGTATTTTTGTCTAAAAGTTAAAGAGGACAAAATTGAAAATGTTTAATTTTTTTTACACAAAAAAGTTATTTTGCGAGTGTGTGTGAGTAGGCCCTATGTGTGTTCGTGTGTGTGTGTCTGTTCGTTGTGTGTTTGCACCACAGGTAAATGAGACAAAATAGATTTGTCAAATTAAATGACGCGCTGTAGCTTCAATACTACCTTGTCAGTACTACATTACATTGACGTAAAGAAGAACATAATTCATCTTGAAATTATGCCAGAGCGATACATATGAGGAATCACAGAGCTATACGATAATACAACACGGGATATATCACAACATAGGCTACATCGAAATATAAGGTCTATAATAACGTATGCTAAGTCCCAACATAGGCTAGAATACAACAGTTCTATATCACAAGATAAACTACGCCGTCCCATATGCCAAGTCCCAACATAGGCTACATTACAACATAGACTAAAGTACAACAAAAACAAAAACAATACACATGCAACAACAAGAGTGACAAAACAATACAAACCTAGACAAAAACATTGCTCGGGTCTATAATTTCTTTCAGGTTTTCGATCACTCTTTACTTAATGACACGCTCAGTTTAGGAATTATACAAAAGAGACGGCAGAGTATATGTCTATATAACAAAAGTAAATGCTTATGTTCAATTTATCTTCTATTATGATAGTAGCTATATTTTTACAGTATGTTAATGTGGCGTACATATTATCGTTGTTATAAATTTCAAATCCGTCTCTTTAACATACCCCGATCTTTACAAACGTTAACTCTTTGCGTGATCTATTCAGCTTTAGATTTAAAGCAGGAGGTTGTGAAACCACCTAAATATTTTGTAATTCGGGATATTAATTATGAAAACACAATCATATATTGATAGCCGGGATTCAAAATGAGAAACCATAACCATCTCTCCTGAGCATGAATCAAATTATGATTTAAATTATGAAAACATAATCACACTTGTAAGCAATGATTCATAACGTGAAAACATAATAAAACTTGTAAGCCATTATTTAAAACGTGAAAACATAATCACATCTTACAGCCCACGATTAAAGCATTGTGGGCTATCACCAACGGAAGCCCGTTAGATGGAACAGTACAACGGGAAATCCCAACAGAGGAGCCCGGACAAGTTCGTTAAAGAAATCAATGTGTCCTTCAGCGTCCCATCACTTACAGCCAGAGAACACAGGGACAGATCCGTTACTCGTTATGTAAGTTGTTGTTAGTTATATATGGAGTACACGATGTGTGTGGGGGGGGGGGGGGAGGGGTTGTAGGAGGTGTCATATATAAAACAATTACAAGGTGTGTGGTATTGACTTTGCTTGGTCATTATAAACCTCAAGTTTATATACACATTATTCGTTTAATATTCACCTTCGATTAAGTATGCCAGTTAATTTAATGTGCATAAAGTAAATTCAAGGTAATAAAAATAATCCACACAAGAATGTTAAGATAAACTAGATCTAGATTCTATAAACTATAGTTTGGAAAATATGATAAATTCCTATTACAAATATAGCTATTGAAAAATAAAATTAATAGTGGTAAAACTCCTTCAATTAAATTTTACCGATTGAGTTTGTCTGTGATCATCATATTACTGTTTTGTTACTTAGTCATTAATTAATAATTAGCATTTGAACATACATCAAACAAAATGAAAATAGAAACATTTTACATAATTATTTTAAAAACTTTCAGCTTAAATGTCACAAGACTAAATTAAAATTGAAAAAAAAATTAAATTAGAACACATCACATACAATAACTTACTTATTTTATAGATCAATACTCCAGGTTAGAAATCAAAACATTCAACACAAAATTCCATCGAATGTGCACAGTTCATCGCATGTTCGGAGTTGTGTTATCAAAATGTGAAGGTACGGCCGACACTTTTTAGGACATGCGCACAGCGCGCTAACTTTCGCTGTCAGCCGAAATTTGCATACAGCGTCGCGCGGCGTCTGTCCAAACAGTTCAAGAAATACTCTCCAACCATCTCTCTCTCGCGCGGCGACGGCGGCGACGCGTCGTTGCTAACACCAGTAGCCAATCGCTGGTCTCATACCACGGCTGCCCCTTAAATCTGCCCTGAGGGCTTCAGGTGGGGGGAAATGGAGTGCGGGGGGAGAAAGGAGGGGTTGGGTAGATAGTCGAGACGGATTATATCAAAAGCCGACTTCGGAGTCTTTTCATTTCATTTATTTAGCGAACAGTAGATGAATTTGTATCTGACAATGGTCAGTGACACCTACTCTATAACCCAGGACCGAGTTGTTTTTCTTCTCCCCCCATAGACTCGATAGCCCACTGTTGCGATAAATTGGTTTGTTCTATTGAAATCTAGCCTGGGTTTAATTTGATTTCGAGTGGTCATTCGCACTGTGGTCATTGAAACTATTTCATGGAACTAGAATCAACAAATAAAACCACTTGTATGAAATATGAGACGTTGTTTCGTGGGAAAGTGGCCGAGTTACGTCACGGGGGGTAATTGTGTTTTCAGAAGCAGATAATAAAGAAGACACTCGAGTCGGGCCGAGGTGGGTTTGAACCGCGGGTCATTTGACCGATGGGTTTAATTTATCTATTGATGTTGACGTAGAACGTGAACAGAAACGGTTCGATTCGGTTCACGCTGAGAACTGGTTTACGTCGAGGGCTGAAGGAATTGAGATAAAATTAGAAGTCGCGTTTATCATTCCCCCCCCCCTTCCCCCACTGTAAGGTCTATCTACGTTGCATTCTTACACAGATTAAAACTATAAACGTCCGAGTGGTTCCTTTCTTTCGTGCCGTTCTCATAGGTTTTTACTTTCAATGCTGGACATAAACGGTGAGTGGTATGTTGGTGGGGGTGGGAGGTAAGGGGGGGGGAGGGAGAGGGAGCAGTTCGAGTTAGAGATTGGACCGAGTGTAAAAGATAAAGTTTTTGCTACGATAAGAGATAAAGTTAACGTTAAGATCTGGAGGGTAAGAAGCAGATGGGATAAGAGCTGGGTAATTAGCGAACGGTGGGATTTTATCTTCTGGCGCCATGGTTAAAGACCGGCGACCTTGAGATGCGGCGTTGACCTTGGCCAGGCTAAGTACCAGGTGGACTCAAGGACGGTCGACTCACTGTTTAGGACACGCGCTAGTGATGACCTCATCCCATGGGTTGGTCACACGCTGGCCACATGCAAGCATTGAGTCCAGAGTTGCTCCAGGTCATCAGACAGTACATTCTCGCCTGGCCAAAGACTGACCCAGAGGATCCAATAGAGAGATTGTACTCTTAACACGGGGACTGACGAAATAACAAGTTTGGATCCCGGGTCCGAGTCACTTGGATGTCTCTAAGTCCACCCAGCTCTAATCGGTACCTGACTCGCGTTAAAGAAAATAGAGGTGGCTGGGCATAGTGCTGGCTGCACTATTCCTTTATTTGCCGAGGTCACTAAATCAGATAAACTCTACTTCCAATACCTATTAACCGCCAGGGAATTTACATTTATTATTATTTTTTTTTACCATTAAACGTAGAGATAATAAAATATAATTAATCTACCATCACTTGTGAAATTAACATATTCTCACAATATAGGCTAACAACAATGTTCCAGCAGATTGATTAAATGCATCACTTAAAAACTTTTGAGGCTGATATACGTTGTTGTTTTTTGAGTCGTAAGATCCATAAGCTGTATGCTGGCACAACTGATAACAATTTCATGATTTTTGATTGATATGGTTTATTAGTAATAGGGGCAACAGGATTGGGGTTCTGTGAGATGTTGTATTGTCATTACCACCAGTTTCAACCATTATATTTCTAAGTATGCGGTTTGCCCGAAAAGTAGCCTACAACAAATTACGTCGTTTTAAATTTAGATATTGTAGTTTAAAAAATTTGATAAAATTAAATAAAATATATATTTTATGTAGTTACGTAAACCTAGACGCCGGCGCTGACTCTACTTCAATACAACTACTGACGCCAACAATCAAGAGCTCGAAACATTTCTCTCATTGAAAAACGACCTACTCAAGTTGAACTTATTGTGCGTCTGGGCCAAAACCTAACCAATGATTGTGTGATTGTATTCATGATTTGTCAGACCTCTTACTTGGTCTGGGTGGCTTTAGACTTTAAGAAAAAAAAACCCCTCGAATTGTTAGGAATAATTGAGTGCCAAACACACGCTCTGTCTAAGTTTAAGTTCAAGTTTTAACTTAAAACCTGAGGTCGCGTCTGAGCACGTATTGTCTGCATTGATTGCACAACAACACAACCCCACCTGGCGACGTCACAAAAGACGCGAGTGAACGTCACAATGCCACGGTCGTGGTGACGTCCATTCACCCCTCTTGTCTGCTTGCTCGCTGCCCTCAAATAAATAAACAAACCGACCCTTGACCCCAAGTATTGTTTACAAGAAGTGGGCTTTGTTATGATTACCAAAAACTCTTGAAAAAAATTTCCGGCAATTCAACAGTAGCGCCTCGCGGAACAATAGCTAGGCGTGCGCCGGAACCGAGGATCGGAAGTTGAAGTGGTCAATGTCTAGTCACGTGACTACCCCTGCCACGGTCAACATGGATGGGGGGGGGGGTGTTTGCTTTTGTGTGACTTACATACAACCTGCCATCGACTACGTGACAGTTTTGACAGAAAATTGATTTCTCGCGTACTGCTAAGTAAATGTAGCCCATAGAGGGACCGGTAACCTCTTAATTCATAGGTTCACTTCTCAACTGACCAGAAGTGACCAGTGTATTGATTTATTGATCACTTGATCAAGTAGGAATCTGGGACACAGCAAGTAGAATTAATTGTTATATATATATATATATTGAAGCCAATTCGTCGTTCAATAAGTGTAAATAGGCCTCTCTCTCTCACTCTATATATTATATATATACCCAAAAATAAATTATTTTCATTAAACGAAGGAGAGGGCCGTCCTCTAAATCAATTACACCCAATTAATTAATCGAGTCAGCGTTAACTGGTTCTAGAGGACGAGATAGATACAGGTTAGCTAGGCAGAAAGAACAAATTGCTGTGGCTAAAATTGGTTTTAAATTTCCGCCCGTTACGGATTCAGACATTTAGATAAGGGTGTGATTGGGTTTCTCCCAGGGGTGGGGTGGGTGTGTGTGAGAGAGGGTTGGGGGTTGGGTGGGACGAATGAATGAAGGATAATTAACGAGCTGCATAGCTCTGTAAACTGTGAGCTCACAAAGCAGTCATCTTTACTCATACTGTTACATAGGTATCACGTATATCCAAAGGCGTAGCGAGGAGGGGGGCGGGGGGTGCGGAGCGCACCGGGTGACACCATTTAGGGGGGTGATACCAAGGCAAAAAATTGCAAAATAGATAGAAAAAAACTTGAGGGGGAGTGCAAATAGAAAGTTTGAGGGGGGTGGGGGGGGGGGGGGGGTGCAAATCGAAAATTTGAAAGTTTGTCCCCGGGAAGGGTCGCTACGCCTATGTGAAGTGACACCATTAAGTGCCGCACCGGGTGACACCTGACCTTGCTACGCCACTGCGTATATCAATTTCTACAAGGTGCATGTTATTTACAAGAATTTTTATAGGCCTACAAATGTGTATGCGACATTTGACTTAAGGAAATTCTATTTATAGAAGGATAGTAATAAATAACTTTACATTCTATTACATGTAAGTTTTCTGAAAACTTTTCTGGCCTGTCTATGGTCCAGTAATTAGCTGTGTATCTGCCTGCATACGAAGGGTTGGGGTGGTCAGCTCTGGTCAGCCATCTTTGCTTTCCCAGACCTGTGGCCAACGATCCATGTAATGAGCTTAGATCATACAGCCTTGCCTTGGCTGTAAATTGAACCCTTCAGTCATGTTGTGAATACAGATAGTCTTGTACAAGTCCCCCAATAACAATGCGTGCACAAAACGGTAGGGGACGGCGTGGTATAGCGGTAGAGCGCTAGACTGCTAACCCGAAAATTTCGAATCCCGATTCAAGTCAGTAGAACGTCCCTGTGTCCGCCCAGCTCTGATGGGTACCTAATTCACGTTAGCGAAGGTCGTCGGCTGAGCTACGTCCTGACCACACAATCCTTTCATGTGTCAAGGTCACACAAACAGGTTAACTCTACTTCACTTGCCCCGTGGTCCGCCATGTTCGAAAAGGGAACTTTGTTTACTTTACATACACAATACCGTTGCTTCATACGGTTATGCTTTTGTAAAGGGAATGTTGCCTGTGTGCCAGGTACGAATTAGAGCTGGGTGGACTCGAACACATCTTAAACGCTCAAGTCCAGATGTCGAAATTAATCAAGCGCTCTACCTTTTGACCACGAACACTATCAACCATTTCAGTACATAAAATGTGGCAACATGTTCTTTTTTTTTTTTGAAAACCAGTGATTTCCCTATTTTACTATTACACGTCTCTTACCCTGCGATTTACGCACGCCACCCCCCTCCCTCAAAACGTTTGCACGTGTTACATCACGTGATTCGGGTGTTGACGGCGTACGTCATCAGAATGCGTGTGGTACGTAACGCGATGCGTGTGCTGCGACACGTGAGTTGACGGGCGGTACCAAAAACCAACGCGAGTGAGCGCGAGTTTGTTGTGACGTGTACGTGAGCTCACCCATTTAATTGGAGATCGTGTTCCCATCTCACCAAACTTTTATTTATTTTTCTCCCCCCCCCCCCCCCTCTTTTTGCCTCCATTTCGATTGAAATTTGATTTCTTTACAAACGCAGCAGGCGTGAAGCAGGCGGCAGGGTTTCTGTGAGTGTTGTCTGGAACTGACTGCCCTCGTGTGGCGTGTGTAGGTATGTGTGGGTGAGCACTGGGTGAGTACAGCGCCGTGCGGTTAAACAAATTGAGGTTAAACGTCAGATAATCCAAATCTATTCATCCCATAATCCCCGTGGTCATACAGTCCATGAAGGGCAGTGGCCTGTTACACCACCTTCCTCTCACTTTGTTCGCTGTTTCTTCATCCATATCTGAACTCCACGCTAGACAATAGGCAGACATACACAAAAGGAGAATTAGCGTTATCGGTGATGATACTGCCCATCCTTGCTTTCATGGGTAATATTGGACCGTGCAACGTGGGGAATGGGTACTCACATCGAGGGTCATGGGTTGTTTTCCTTATCGTCGTTTCCATGTAGGCTACATGTTGTAATAAATTCTGACTTGGCTAAGTAAACAGATAGACCATACTATCCCAGGGGTCGGCAACCTTTTGATACGCAAGAGCCAAAAGTTACAATTTACAAACTTTCCCAGTTTTTAAAGAGCCACAACATTTTTAGTTGAATATTCGGTATTTGATTAGGATTAGGTAAATAAAATTGATTTGTTATTTAAAATAAATAGCTTTAAATATGAAATAATATTTATTCATATAAAAACAGACATGTTTTGCCCGAATAGTAAAATTAGTAATCAAATAATATTATTCTAGGGCTATCTCAATTTACTTTAGAAGCTGTTAATTTTTATTAACACGTTTTTATTAACTCAGCTTCGCGTGTGTTTGTTGTTAAAATTGACATCGAAAATTAGCCCACTTCTGATTGCTCTATAGACCTGAAATTTGGCATGCATGCTACTTTCGCCTAACAATTTCAGATGCAATCATAAAAACTAGCAATTAGAGACCGTAATTAGCTTAATTTAATTACGCCCCAAGGACCATACAATTGAGGACATGATTTCTAAAGATACCGACAAGACTGGAGGCTTATCGACACAGTTACTTCGGCCCCAATCGATGTGAGCGCGCTGGCCGTGATCGTATAGTGGTTAGTACTTCTCGTTGTGGCCGCGACAACCCAGGTTCGAATCCTGGTCGCTCAAGATTTTTTTAGTCCGTGTATTTATAAACACTTAGTCAATTCATACTTAATCAAGTCATTAGATAAAGTAGAAAATAAACTATATAAAAAACTTTTTTAAAAACCACGTTTTTCATGTGTAGCAACGGACTAAAAAGGAGAAAATAAAATACTTAAAAAAAACTTTTTAAAAAACCACGTTTTTCTTGTGGACTAAAAAGTAGAAAATAACTATTTACATACATTTGATGACAAAAAACGTGGGTCGGGCAGATGGGTCGGGAAATTTGATGGTGAACGTACCCACGTTTTTTGTCATCAAATGTATGTAAATAGTTATTTTCTACTTTTTAGTCCACAAGAAAAACGTGGTTTTTTAAAAAGTTTTTTTTAAGTATTTTATTTTATTTTTTCTTTACGGATATGACCGGCTCAGGAGGTGTCTCCCATTAGCCAGTCAGGCCTCAACACGGCAAACGCCGACTAACTGGCTTAAATATCGGTTTGAATAACTTGCATCGTTCGCTTCTATCCTTTGGTTCTCATCAGGCTTATGGTTCTCACCAGTCTTATCTTCCATCCCACTGAACGCATGGTAAAGTCGTACCCCACCGTCCAGTAAAAAATGACTATATAACTATTAATTTGTGTGCAAGGAGCTGGAGAGTCGCATCTGAACGTCAAAGGAGCCTCAGGTTGCCGGCCCCTGTACTATCCGGATTATCCACAGAGTTTAAATGACACTTTGTTTTTTTTTGTGTGGCTATGTCACTAATTTTTATTTCAGACAATTTATTTTCACAGCACAATAGCATTAACCAGAAGAGGATAGGAACAAAACTAAGCCTTGTAAAAACCTTGTAACCACAACCTCTCAGTATCTACCACTGAGTGTCTCTGTATAACACAATGTGACAAACCTACTTCTGATGAATCTGGTTTATAAAAGGACACCCTAGAGATGAACTGAGCAAAAATTCAGTTACCATACAAACAAATGAAACCTCGTAAATTATATGGACTAAAAAGCTATAAGAACAATATCTTAGCTGAATTTTTACATTTTATTTTGGAAGAAATAATAAATTGTAAAGCAACTTAGCATAGTTTAAACCAGGATAAATAATGATCTAGGTCAGCATTAAACATAAAATACATAAATAGGAGAAATTGATAGATGTTAATAAATTAATGTTTTCATTTTGCTTTTCCATGGGGCTTGAAGTGTTGGTAGTAATTGACTGTAATGTCTATCATTAAATCCTGTGTACAGTCAGGTAGATCAACTGTCATTTTCCCTGGTGATCCGGAGTAGAGTGTGAAAGGCGGAACAACTGTTTCAGGAGGTACAACTGTGTTATCTTTGAGTAGTGATCTTCGACCAATGACACAGTTTTTTCCTATGTGTACAAATGATCCTACTTGAGCAGCATTGACTATAGAATCCTCTTCAATTAATACATGGTCACCAATATGAAGAGGAAAAAATGCCACACCTTTTGAATTTTTTTTAAAAGCTGGTCGTATTACAGCATTTTTACTGATAATACAATGTCTCCCTATTCTCACATTAGCCAAGTCTCCTCTAATGACACATCCAGTCATTACAATAGTCTTTCCATTTATGACAATGTTCTGGCTCCCACACAAAACCGACTGTCTGCTAACTTTATTTCCTGATGCCGTTTCAATATACTGTGGACTATTGTAGAATTCTTCCTGAAGCGCCATTTTAATTTGTTTTTTTTTTTTTTTTTTTTTTTTTTTTTTTATATTTTTATTTGCAATTAAAACAAGTACATCAACATCAAATTTTTTAACATAATTTTGAACACCAAATGAAAACGAAAGGTTTTGCAAATGTACATAATGAATATTTACATGATGTCATGTATTTGATTATAAAAAAAATTGCAAAGGATGACAGTAAAAGGGGTGAAGGTCAAATGAAAGTGTCAGAAGTCTGGGTGGGGAGAGGAAAGGAAATTTTTCAGAATTTTAATTTGTTTTCAAGTTTATATTTCTCGAGAGGTAAAACTGGCCATCTAAATATCATTCAATGTTAACATCGGAGTCTTATTAAGTCAACCATATTATTTTCAATAGGGGTGTATGGGGCAATTTTGGATTATAAAAAATTACAGTAATCATGGATTAGTATTACAAGACCATTTGTCCCACAATCAGTTTTTTTTTTCGCTGGCTATTAATAGTCACTATTTTAACTTTTGACTTCACAGCTAAGGATAGAGCGACAGCAAACTGAGCAATCAAAAGAAACAGAGTTGCATCCCTTATTTTTAGTCGAGGTTTCTAAAACATTTTACTCAATTCATTCAACTAAATAAAAAAAAATTATGATCATGTCTTTGAAACTGTATAAAACTACAAAATAAATAATTATTATTGTTTAAAATGTTTGAAATAAATATAAAATAAAAATTATTAAAATAAAAACGGTGGGGGATATATATACATTTTTGAAAGTGAAAAATGATTTGATATATCTCATTGTGCTATACATATCATCCAAGCTGCTTATAATATTTTTGTATTACCACTCTTTAATCCCAGATTTATTTTAACTCTAATTATATGCCCATACCCACTCAATCCACCCAACTACTGTAATGCCAACTACTGTAATATCAACTATTGTAATATTAACTACTGTATTATCAACTACTGTAATATCAACTACTGTAATATCAACTACTGTAATACCAACTACTGTAATATCAACTACTGTAATATCAACTACTGTAACATCAACTACTGTAATATTAACTACTGTAATATCAACCACTGTAATATCAACTACTGTAATATCAACTACTGTAATATCAACCACTGTAATATCAACTACTGTAATATCAACTACTGTAATATCAACCACTGTAATATCAACTACTGTAATATCAACTACTGTAATATCAACTACTGTAATATCAACTACTGTAACATCAACTACTGAAATATTAACTACTGTATTATAAACTACTGTAATATCAACTACTGTAATATCAACTACTGTAACCATGGCAACACACCTGGTACATTGACCTGAAGTGGCCACCCAGCTAACAGTGAGGCCGAAGCTGTTGTCGCCATGGGTACCTTTGTTGTCGTGTTGATTAACCAACACTACAGCCAGCCTGTGTTCGGATCCAAGTCAGGTGTGACGCCACGGGCACAATAACACATTTGTAGTGGCACCCCGCCACCTATCACGACACGCACACACACACAAACACACACACACACACACACACATATATATATATATATATATATATATATATATATATATATATATATATATATATATATATATATTTATTTATTTATATGTATGTATATATATATATAAGTATTTATAAAAATGAAACTTTTACGTCCATGAGTACATCAAACATATTTTAAACTATTTCCGCAATTTTAATATTAAAACCATCGTTTCTATACAGCTTCCTAATTCTGGTACCGAAAACACTTTCCTCTCAAGAGAAAAAAAAACCCCTCAACCATCACTAACTCTAGTCTTAAAGATGTGTTTTGGCAAGCAGGGGCAGTTAATCCTTCCCCCAGTTTAGCAGTCGTCAAAAAGCGGCGCTATCTTTATTACCTCCCCCGGCCTCCCCAAAGAACTAAATCAAATCTCGCTTATTTGCGGGGCTATAGATCTGTTATCTGGGACTCTGTGCCTCCCTCTGGTGAGTCAAGTGTAGGTTTTATCCGGCAGGGGAGATAACAGATAAAATATCTCTGTGTAAAGATTGGGAGAATTCATTGAAATGTTTTTACAGTTCGACTGAACTTTTTTTTATTTTTTTTTTAAATGGAGGGATTCGCCTTTCTTGAAAATAAAGTTTTTTTAGTTTAAAGTTAGGTCAGGGTTGAGTCAAGATAAAGAACGTTAGCAGACGGCAAACGCTTCTTGAAACGTTTCCTTATCGTCCAACAGAAAAAGTACCAGTTCCTATTTGCGAACCCGGAAATTTCCGGCTAAGTCTGTAAAGCGCCCCATAACAAAGAACTCTGGAGGACACTGGGTGTTCATATAAATTTGGGGCCAATTTACGCAGCTCGCTCTATTCAAATTAAAAACATTCAACGTAATATTTAAATTAATTAAATGCTTAATATTCTTAAATGTTACGCTAACTATGACGTCGATTCTATAATCTGATTGGTCTATAAAAATAGAAAAACATGTTAATGTGTGTTGATTTAGCAACATTGACACCTCGTTAGCCAAAACAAGATTTCCATAGTTGCTGAATCCGAAGTCTTTTGTCCGTCAACCACATAACACGTAATGTCTGGTATCTGCACGTAGACAAGGCATACTGGAAATCGTTACACGTAGACAACATCGTCATATGTAGACAGTGGCGTAGCGAGGTCGGGTCTCACCGGTGCGGCACTTAATGGTGTCACCCCTCCCCAGAGGCGTAGCGACCCTTCGCGGGGACAAATTTTCGTTTTGCATCCTCCCCTCAAACTTTCGATTTGCACCCCCTCAAACTTTCGATTTGCAGCCCCCCCCCCCCCCCGATCAAATTTTCGATTTGCACCCCCCCCTCAAATTTTTAGCTATAAATTTTGCTATTTTTTGCCTTGGTGTCACCCCCCCCTAAATGGTGTCACCCTGTGCGGTCAGCACCCCCGCCCCCCCCCTTCGCTACGCCTTTGCATGTAGATAATATGTAACATACTGGACATCGTTGCACTTAGATAAGTAACATAATGAACATCGTTACACGTAGACAACATCGTCAAATGTAGATAATAAGTAACATACTGGGCATCGTTACACGTAGACATGTAACATACTGGACATCGTTACACGTAGATAATATTCAACATACTGGACATCGATGCTACCGTCTTAAAGCATAATATTAAATTAATTACTTGATGGATATGTATCATTATGATTAGGTTAGTTATAATTTAGGTAGCTCTTGTAGGCATCAATACACCAAGTAAAACATATAGACACGTAATGTTATGGCCTGCACCATCAGGGTTGAAAACCTTTCTGGATACTATGCAAGATCAGCCCGTGGTTTCTGGATACTATGCAACATCACTAAGTGGTTTCTGGATACTATGCAACATCAGTAAGTGGTTTCTGGATACTATGCAAGATCAGCCCGTGGTTTCTGGATACTATGCAACATCAGCCCGTGGTTTCTGGATACTATGTAACATCAGTAAGTGGTTTCTGGAAACGATGTAACATCAGCCCGTGGTTTCTGGATACTATGTAACATCAGCCCGTGGTTTCTGGATACTATGTAACATCAGCCCGTGGTTTCTGGATACTATGTAACATCAGCCCGTGGTTTCTGGATACTATGTAACATCAGCCCGTGGTTTCTGGATACGATGTAACATCAGCCCGTGGTTTCTGGTTAATATGTAACATCAGCCCGTGGTTTCTGGTTAATATGTAACATGAGCCCGTGGATGACAGTATGAAGTTACGACGATAAAGATGACAAGGACGTGGATGTAGAATGTAGGCTTGGTCTGGTGATGTGCACCCACAAGGACACAGCATCGAATATTGTGGATTGGGGTGGGGCGGGGGGTGGGGGGCAATACTGAAGACGGGGATTTGGGGTAGCCAAACACACCTGACACGTGGGTAGGTAGAGACTGAAGGTCCAACAATGAAGATTGAAAATCCAGTAAAGGAGATTGAACATCTATGAAGGACAGAAGTCTCTAAGGAAAATCAAGTATAGAAATAAGTAGACGAAGCCTCAAAACACTGAAAAAGAATCTATAGACTAGAAAATATCAACTGTTGCACATGTCGATTATAACACATACCAGCTGTAGTATATATTGGATCTTGCATATGTTAATTATAGCGAATGTTAGAAGTAGAACGCTATAGCAATAGCAGAAGTGGGCAAAGAAAGTCAGGCTACATCAAATGATAAAAATCCCATATTGAAACGTTCAATGATGATTCACCTTAAAATAGAACAGCTTCTGATATCATATCTACATTTATTTTTTGAATTATTCCAATGATGAGATGTCATTTAGAAATCTCATGAAACTAAATGAGATATTTAGGAGAGTAAAAATATACAAGTTACGTTATCGTTCATTCCCCCCCCCCCCCCCCCCAATCACAAAATTGAGTCATGAATTTCAACACTCCGCACATTGCCTCTTGCCTTCACCATCCGTCTGTCCCTCCGTATCAAACGACTACTTATTTCATATTTCACAATTTTCATAAAGCGAAAAATAAATTAAGATAAGGCGCGCCCCGGCACTCACTGAACCAAACAGTTGCGCAGGGAAAGAAAAAAAAATTCTAGCGCAGTAGTGCGCAATCAAGGATGGTGCGAAGATAAGGTCTTGTCCCTAGACTCCAAAACGCCTAGTGGATAAACGTTTAAAAGATACACTTTAAAATCTAACACTCTCTCGCTATCTATTTAACTCACACATATATTTTTTTAAAAGTTACTTCCCTTGAAAAAAAGTCACATCCTCTTGAAAAAGTTATCCCGCTTGGGAAAAAAAAAAGATTACCTCCCCTTGGAAATATTTCTCAGGTGCTGGAATCGTGTATCACCAAGGGAGATAATCAGGCAAAGGTCAGGTTGTGATTGGGCTGGAATTTAATGGCACCAGACGGGAAAATACAATAAATCTTTATGTTTGCTGGCTATCAGGACGGCGGTTATGGACTACTGGCAGCAGTTCACAGTTAAGTGACTTTTCCTTTTCTATCTCTTTAAGAAAGGAATTGGTCGACCCAGTGACCGCTAAGCATATACTCCTTACCTAAATGTTAACCAAAAATCCAAGTAGCTAGTGTTTATATATACACACGCACACACACACACACGCACACACACGCACACACGCACACACACGCAGACACACACACACACACACACATATATATATATATATATATATATATATATATATATATATATATATATATATATATATATATATATATATATATATATATATGAGACACACACACACACACACACACACACACATATATATATATATATATATATATATATATATATATATATATATATATATATATATATATATATATATATATGTGTGTGTTTATAGACAAAAAGATAACTGTGCAAAAGTGAAATAAATTTAAAAAGAACGATATATACATTAACTCATAAACGTAACTAATCTTCTGATAAAACTGTTCTCAAAGATTCACTTCTCATGGCCTCGAGGACCACTGTCCTACCCAACTCTTAAAGATTTACTTCACATAGCTTTAACCATCAATGTCCTATCCAGTTTATCAACAATTTACTTGACATAACCTCAACGACTAATGTCCTACACAGTTTATCAAAGATTTATTTCACATACCTCAACGACCAATGCCCTACCCAACTCTCAAAGCTTTACTTCACATAAACTCAACGACCAATGTCCTACCCAACTCTCAAAGACTTACTTCACATAGCCTTATGGACCAATGTCCTATTCAACTTTCAAAGATTTACTTCACATAACCTCAACGACCAATGTCCTACCCAATGCTCAAAGACTTACTTCACATAGCCTCAACGACAAATGTCTTACCCAGTTTATCAAAGCTTTACTTTACATAACCTCAATGACCAATGTCCTACACAGTTTATCAAAGATTTACTTCACATAACGTCAACGACCAATGTCCTACCCAACTCTCAAAGACTTACTTCACATAGCCTCAACGACAAATGTCTTACCCAGTTTATCAAAGCTTTACTTTACATAACCTCAACGACCAATGTCCTACCCAACTCTCAAAGAATTACTTCACATAGCCTCAACGACAATTGTCCTACCCAATTCTCACAGCTCGTCAAAAACTGCTGTAGCCGGGGCGATTACATAATCCTCCGCCCTTTGTGAAACAAGAAAGCTGTGAGTGAGCACTGGCATCCAGCACGTGCATCAGGTTGTATTTATTGGTGAGTACAGTCGGAAGAGATTAGATTAAATGGAGGCGGCGTGACTTAATTCGCTCTAATGCACCGGGGTGTTGTGATAAGGCGGGGAGAAAGGGCGATATGATTGGCTTCATAACATATGGGTTGGTTGTAATGGTTGTAGTGGGATATGGCGGGTGGGAGGTGGGGGCGGGTTGTGGGGTGCGACGGGTTGTTGGTATGGGCGGGTTGGCGGCAGGAGCGGGTTGGGGTAGTGGTGAATTTTAGGCACGTGTTGATAGAGCCAGAAGTGGGTTGGAGGTAGGGGTGAGATGGAGGTAGAGGTTAATGGGGGTAGGGGTGGGATGGAGGTAGAGGTTAATGGGGGTAGGGGTGGGATGGAGGTAGAGGTTAATGGGGGTAGGGGTGGGATGGAGGTAGAGGTTAATGGGGGTAGGGGTGGGATGGAGGTAGAGGTTAATGGGGGTAGGGGTGGGATGGAGGTAGAGGTTAATGGGGGTAGGGGTGGGATGGAGGTAGAGGTTAATGGGGGTAGGGGTGGGATGGAGGTAGAGGTTAATGGGGGTAGGGGTGGGATGGAGGTAGAGGTTAATGGGGGTAGGGGTGGGATGGAGGTAGAGGTTAATGGGGGTAGGGGTGGGATGGAGGTAGAGGTTAATGGGGGTAGGGGTGGGATGGAGGTAGAGGTTAATGGGGGTAGGGGTGGGATGGAGGTAGAGGTTAATGGGGGTAGGGGTGGGATGGAGGTAGAGGTTAATGGGGGTAGGGGTGGGATGGAGGTAGAGGTTAATGGGGGTAGGGGTGGGATGGAGGTAGAGGTTAATGGGGGTAGGGGTGGGATGGAGGTAGAGGTTAATGGGGGTAGGGGTGGGATGGAGGTAGAGGTTAATGGGGGTAGGGGTGGGATGGAGGTAGAGGTTAATGGGGGTAGGGGTGGGATGGAGGTAGAGGTTAATGGGGGTAGGGGTGGGATGGAGGTAGAGGTTAATGGGGGTAGGGGTGGGATGGAGGTAGAGGTTAATGGGGGTAGGGGTGGGATGGAGGTAGAGGTTAATGGGGGTAGGGGTGGGATGGAGGTAGAGGTTAATGGGGGTAGGGGTGGGATGGAGATAGGGGTGGGTTGGAGGTAGAGGTGGGTTGGAGGTAGGGGTGGGTTGGAGGCAGGGGTGTGTTAATTACAAACTTTTATGTACTAATGCACTAACAATTAGTAATTAGACAATAGATTATTTTCTTTAATTATTTTATAATACTATATTATTTGAATAAATTTAAAGAAACGCGTGGGTCGCTTCCTAAATATTAGTAAAAGCATACAATAGATAATATAGTGATCTACGCTATTCTTTACAGTTATTTGATTAGTAGAGTATTAAAATATATTAAAAGAAAATTATTTATCTTCTCCTTTTTAATGCATTATTACATAAAAGCTTGTAATTAAAACGTTTTTTATTAAGGTTTTTTTAAAGTGCTAACTTGAAGCATATACCCCTTTAAATACTAACATCCAGAAAGTGCTCTCTAAGAACTATTTAGAACTCTCTAGGAGCTATTATTTAAAACCTACTTGCTAAAGCTATCCCCACTGTCTTACTCTGTCTTCTGTAGTACACAACAGTCTTTATTTGAGATCACATTTAGTACGTTGCTCCTTTTGTAATTAGGCAACATCTTCTCTACTCACTCTGACTTACTCGTTCCCACGCAACCCCCTCCCTCATTTCAGTGGGTTTTTTTTATCTAGTGTGAAGATATTTAGTAATATGTAGTCATGCAGGCCTACCGAAGGTACTCGCCCCGACATACTGGTTCACACGCACCCCCCCCCTCTTTCATATGGGTTAGTTTTACGATAAGGGGAAAAACCTCTGACAAAAGTCAAGCAGTCCTATGATAAAAACAAGAGTTTTCCATCAACTAAAAGACATGCCATTTTTGAGTGACCTCACCGATAGATTAGTCCTGATCCGTTAACTTCATGGAACTCTAGATATCCGGTCTATAAGGAGGTGGGAGTTAGCTCCCATCTCATGATAAACTTGGCGAGTTGTCCCTGGTGGGGATAATGGAAGGCAATCATCTAGGTCAGGTTTGCTAGATATAGTATTTATAGAACTAGATTAACACCGATTATATATATATATATATATATATATATATATATATATATATATATATATATATATATATATAAGATTTGACTCATTGTTATATATAATGAAGATTTTTTTTTTCTATTGATATTATTTTACCACTCATTTATAACCGTGAAATCAACCATGGGAGACAACCTATCATTGTTTGCACAAACATCGTTATCATATCAAAGAGGTTCAACAACAAAAATTACAGAAAGTATTTTTAATCTGTTATATTTTCATAAATATGTTTTTTTATTATTGAAGTATGTCTGCTTTTATATATCATATTTTTCAGACGTATTGTTAGTCTGTAGTTTAAATAGATAACCATTACTAATAAAACTTACATGATCTCTTAAGAAACGTAAATTTTTAATGATAAACATTCACTCCTGTGCAAAATAAGACTTATACTACATACTCAAATTTAACTGTTCACGCAGTACATATAATAAAATTGGAACGATACAGAGAAGATTAGCATGGGCCTCGCGCAGAGATGACACGCAGAATCGGGATACTCAAATTTAATTAAAAAAATAAATAACACAAATTAAAAAAATAAATAACACAAATTAAAAAAAACAACTATCAAGTATGTTAGAACACTAGAATGCATTTGTACAATCCAAAGCAAAGGCTGACGAGTTTTTCTTTTCATTTTAATTTTACTCTTATAGTCATGTATTGTGTGTAGGCGAGCGTAAAGAATGGTGAGGTACCCGAATATGTTTTTTTTTTAAAAATAAATCGAGGCAAATGACAACAAATGTGGCAACAGCTGTTAAGTGTACAAGATAGGCTGTGGGAGCAATGTATCAACCTGATTTGGGTAATGTGATGTTAAGTCAGTGTTGAGCACTGGTTGTAGGGCGATGAGTAACATCATCATTTTCACGTGAAATGGCTGTTGTGGCCAAGTGCTACTTTAGATGGGAGCCCGGTTGAATGGGTACATGGTCTGAGAGACGAAGTTCGTGTGTGGCGCTTTTAGCCCCTGCTGTCACACATTTGTCCTTCTATCTTACAGTCTATCATTTCATGCCTTGACCTTTTGCGCTTCAACCCGCTTCCTATATACCCCCACCCCCAGTAATGTACCACCCTTAAAGATTTCAAAGTTCCGCCTCACTCATTGGAATATATAACCCTTCAAACTATAAAATATACCACCCCACCTTATCAATTTACCACTCCCTACCCACATAGGTATACTACCCTCCCCCTTTCATTGCACTACTACCCCACCCCTATCAATGTACCACCACGTCCCCTCCTCCCCCTACGGACGCCGAATATAAATATTTCCTCCCTACCTTCTGGCATACCTAGTTTGGCACATCCGGAAAAAATTTATCTGGCAGGAGATTGAGTAATGGTTCGCAGGCCTGACCCCGGCGTTTTATTTCAGTTCCATTACGTTTACCTGATTGCACCTATCTTGCCCCTCTCCCAAGACCATCCGGTGCGTTAGATGATAAAAGTTCAAATGGAAATTGAACCAGTCACAAAATCTAACAAAATAAACAACGCAAAATTATATATATATATATATATATATATATAAATATATATATATATATATATATATATATATATATATATATATATATATATATATATAACTGACGACACAGACACACAATTATAGCTCTCTACACAGATGTCGAAATCCTGATGTTTATATTTCCTGTAGAAATCGATTTAATTGGTTCTCTTGCAGATAGCAGAAACTAGTTAACTAACAGCTTAAGCTGTTTGGAAAATGTCTTTACTATCGCCTAGTGTTTACCATGCGAAGATCTGAAATACCAGTTATTTTAGAGTCAAATATGTGAGAGTCACAGTTTTGAGAGTCACAGAAGGAGTATTGTCACGGCCCATTCTAGCTGGACAACGGGTGCAACGAAGCGAAAGTCAACGGTCAGTTTATCGTGGAAATTGGTGGACGGTAAATTAGGACCCAAGGGGTCATCTGTGCCCCTTCCACCACCCCTCTCCCCATGTTTTCTACTTTCTACGTGCCGAAGTCCCTAAGACGAGTGACCGCACCTTCTGCAGGCAAGAGAACTCGTCTTTTGTGCGTCAGGGCGCGTCTTGCTCTTCCACCTTTTGTGCAGCTTTTCCCTCTCCCCCCACCCCCTCCCCCAGGCTTTGTTCGCGGGAAGCGAGGCCCGGCCAATTTGAACCAGGCCGCGAGGAGGTGTACTCGAGCAAGGTAAACAGTGTTCGTGTCGTGTTGAAGAAACCTGGCTAAACCACCCGAACCCCCGGGTGGCCGATGGTCAGCTGACTCGGGTGTTAAGTTACAACAGGTCAAAGTGACCTACTTGAAAACGGAGTGGTTTCGTTTTAAGATTTAAAAAAAAGTGTTTAACAAACAAAAGCAAATATTTTCATTTCACTAATTTTAAAACTCTTGAAGACGTAAAAGAAAAATACGATGTTGTGCTTTTTTTCTACAGAGCAGTCATACTGTAACAATATGACATGGCAATAGCTCACATTAAAGGTCTAGGACATGTCATAATGCATTTTTTACAGTTTTAAAATATACAGTAAATTGTATAATTAATATTCACTAAACTTGTATAATTAATTTACATTAAACCTGTATAATAATAACAATATTATGTCATTTTTATACCACTTGAGTAAGGTATGGCAAGCAATTTCTAATATGCATTACCGTTTTTTTTTCTTGTAAATAGCTGATCTTATACAATTGTTGAACTACACGGCCTTGCAGGATTTTGAGAAAATATCACATGATTTAAAGATTTTATTAAATCCACCTAACTCAAATGATGTATGGAGTTTGGATTAATGGCGTATTGAGGCCTGGTGGTTTTCAGAATGTATGCATAAGAATACAACTTTAAAAATTCTTTAAAAAATATTTGTTTTAACATTCGCTTCCACCACTCCCCATTTCACGGCTGAAATCCCAGTTATACGTCACATTCTTCAACAACCTCTCCCCGGGACCGGGACTTGTAAATCGAGACGCGCATGCGTAAACAGTGCCGAAGACTTTGGCATTAACACAGAAAAAGACACCGCCCACGCAATCAGTTAAAAAAAAAAGTTGAATTTAAACTTTACCAAACTGTTACCTGTTGATGGATGGTTTTGCCCCGGGTTTTGATTTCAACCAAAACTAGTTTATAGCAAAACTTCGTTTCAACTGTTGTTTATCATTGGTTTTTTAAAAACAGTTCCTACCACACATACACACACATACACACACACATATACGTATATATATATATATATATATATACATATATATATATATATATATATATATATATATATATATATATATATATATATATATATATATATATATATATATTTACAAGATTGTTTCAAAAGTAGTGGAATACATTTTTAAATTTTAAATGCCAGAAACAACATACAGAAGAATGTTTTGATTTTTCCCAACAATAACAGTTACACGCCCCCCCCCCCCCCTCTCCCCCCGACACACACCTCCGTATTGAAAGTTCATCACTCCCTCCACCTGCAGCCACCCTGCGACCCCCACAGGGGCGGTAATGTCTGCTCACTTCCCCCGCTAATCTCGCGGAATTTTACCTCCCCTTGTCTCCAGCATTCAGACCTTCACACGAGTATCAAACAACACATCCCGTCCCTGCCATCTATGTTGCTTCCAGACAATCGGATTTCCCTTTCCAGGGGTGGAACTTTCCAGGCACGCTTGCGACAACATCGGGGCGAGTTTCATGTCTTAAGATGTCGCTGGTACAAAAGACAGGATCTGAGAAATAAATTCCGACAGTTTGAACGCCCGGCGGGGGGGAGCGACGAACTCCTGGGGGGAAATGACTTTTAAGCCGGTTTTATAGTCTGCTAACGCGGACCGGCGCGGAACTTTACACTTATCCCGGGGGTGTGGTTGAGACAAAATGTTGCAGTGGGTGACGTCTGGTGATGGAGATGGAGGTTGCGTTACACCTGGTGAGCAGTTAGCGGTGGAGGTGTGTGGTAATAGGGTTGGGCATTTTTTGGTTACACGATTCTGGGAGAATTTTTTGTGTGTTTGAAACGAGGATTGTAGATTTTGTTTTATTTAGCTGCCGTGTGGCGAAAAGATTTGGGCCTTTTTGTGTGCGACAGAGGGATAGAAAACTTGGGCAATTCTAAATGGCAGTGGGTTTGAAAATATAAACTTAATTGAGTGGAAGAGAGTTACAAAATTGGGGTTTTTTGAGTGGTATAGGGTTACAAAATTAGGATAACTAGCAGAGGCTAGGAAACTTGGGCTCAATGTACGAATATTGCTAGAGTATTCAAGTTTCTTGCTGTGACTACAACTAAGCCGTGTACAAAATTATTTTACTTATGAATAACATTATAGAAAAAATTATATGCAAACAGATACGGTTTTGGTACAAATTAACATTTTAAAAAAATAAAGCCTGTCCCGGATTAACCTTTTGGTAAAGTTTTTTTTTTGTTTTGGCCAAAGAACATATCAATTTCTAAACATAATAAACTAAAGTCTTCTACAGCACTTGATCACCGACGGGTCCTAGCCGGCACCGGTTTCATCCGGCACGAGAATCACGCTGCTTTACTGCGGCACCGCCCACCCCTTAACACGGCGCCTGACACACTCTAATTATTCTAAGACCAAAATTGCGCAGTGATTATGAAGTTGTGAAATTGAAGACGCAACGGACCCCCCATAAACTGCCGGGGCATAATCAATAGTCGCGTGGTATTATGTGTGGGGGACGTGATGGTGGGAGCCCAAAGCTTCCAGAGTTCCTGCTAACGTAATTATGAGTTACGATTCTATTTGATCGTTTCAATTATACCCTGGAATAACCGAGTGCTTAATTTGTTTGGTTTTTTCAAGTGTGTAAAATCTACTTATTTCCCTTGATTTAAGAAGTTTTTATTTATACACTCAATTTAGTTTCGTACTAACGCAGCTAGCAAAAAAAAAAAAATAAAAAATACCATAGCTCTTTGTTTTACTCTCTTTAAAAAAAAACTTAATTGTTTTTTCTCACGAATAGAGTTGTCCCCCCACTTGGCAGGCAATAACGGCCGGTTAATTTAAAGCGCAATTACATCGATATCGTAAATCACCGTGATTTAGTTAATCTGGTGCACATTCCCTCCCCACTTCACTGAACGTAACAAGGGGTAGTACCCCCCCCCCACCCCTTACCCAACCCAACCCACTCCAGACTAAAGCTAACAATCTCAGTGCATTTCAACGAAGGTTTTATTTTTTTTCTTTCTTCCTTCGACAATCTAGATAAGTAGCAAGTTAAAGCGTACTTGAACGAAACAAGTATTAATGACGTAGGAAGTATACAAAGTAGCAATCACTTAGGTTAAAAAGCCAGCCGCAAAAGATCTAAAACACTATAAAGTGAATTGGAAAACTGCACGACTTAACATGTAAAGCAATTTCGCCTCGACGCTTTACACTCTATTACTTTAGGACCCTAGGCCGTAAATTAAAAAAAAAACAGAAAGGAAGGAAAGAAATC